CTGGAGAATCCCATGGACAGAGGATTCTAGGGGGCTATATATAGTCCATGGGGTCACAACAAAGTCAGACACGACTGAGCGGCTAACACACACTTTAGAGGGAATAGTGAGGGATTGGCAGAAATGCTAAGATCTAAAGGAGTGAAGTTTCAGGAAAATAAGATAATGTATTCGGATGTGTCATTTTGAAGAACTGGAGGAAAATGTTGACTGAGCGTTTGTACTATAGTTCTGGGACTTACGTCATGGTTAGGACAGAGGGAAAAACTTCAAGCTAAAGTTACAGTCCTTAAAGACTGAAATTTAGGGCATCATGAGAAGCTTTGAAGAGTATGTCAGGGGCAGGTAATCTTCCTTAGAATTTCTAGAATAAAGATAGGGCCCATGTCTAATAATCCCTATTTAGTAATACTTTTTTTTTTTTTTTGCTTTTATTGCAGTATAGTTGACTTACAATGATGTGTGAGTTTCAGGCATACAGAAAAGTGGTTCAGTTAAACATATACATGTATCTATTTTTTTCAGATTCTTTTCCCTTTTAGGTTACTACAAATTATTGGATGTCGTTCCCTGTGCTGTATAGTAGGTCCTTATTTGTTATTTATTTTATATATAGTGGTGTATTGATTTTCTGCTATATTTTCATTTTATTCTTTGGCCACACCATGTGGTATGTAGGATCTTAGTTCCTGGACCAGGGATTGAACCTAGGGCCCCTGGCAGTAGAAGCTCAGTATCTTCACCACTGGACCACCAGAGAAGTCCCTCCACTATATTTTCTTTCTCTCTTTTTTTTCTCTTTTAAGCCACTATTATTTACTTATTTATTTTCTGTCACATATAACCAAACCTAGCCCTAAGCAATTCAGATCTAATGGAGAACTAAAGTCCTAGATTTTGTGAGATTTGTAAATCCTTACAAGGCTGACATAGTTGTTTTGTATCTTTGTGTAGAGAGAAAGCCACGTAACAGGGTATTATATTTAATATGCATATTTTCTGTTATATTTTCTACATAGATTTAGCTTAGAGCTTTACAATAAATTTTATCTTTCCTCAGGCTTTATACATTTTTGCTTCCTTTAAGTAATTTTTTTTTCTTTGCTCTAGCTGTTCTCTGGCTAAACTAAGTAAGTTGTTCAGTCTATCCTGTGGCAAATTCTTTGTCCTTGTAACTTTTTATTTTTTTAATAGTAAAACATATATAACATAAAGTATATCACCTTAACCATTTTTAGATCTATAGTTCAGTGTCATTAAGTTTGCTGACTCTGTCGTGCTACCGTTAATGCCATCCATGCTTAAAACTCTTTATCATGCAAAACTGAAACCTGTATCTATTGAACAATAACTCCCCATTCTTCTCTCCCCACTGGTCTCTGGAAACCACCACTTTACTTTCTGTATTCCACTTTCTGTGAATTTCACTACACTAGAAATGTTATGTAAATGGAACCACAAAGTATTTGTCCTTTTGTGATTGGCTTATTTCACTTAGCATAATGTTCTCAAAGTTCATCCATGTTGTGGCAAATGTCAGAATTTCCTTCCCTTTTAAGAGTGAATTCATTGTATATATATACCACATTTTCTTTATCCATTCATCCATCAATGGATATATGGGTCACTTTCACCTTTTTACTATTGCAAATAATGCTTCTATGAATATAAATATCTCTTTGAGATCCTGGTTTTAATTATTTTGGGTATATATTGGTCTGTATGGTAATTTTATGCTTAAGCTTAATTTTTTGAGGAATTGCCATACTATTTTCCACAGTGGCTGCATCATTTTACATTTTCACCAACTGTGCAGAAGAATTCCAATTTCTCCACATGCTCACTAACCCTTATTATCTTCTGTTTCTTTTTTAATAATAGCCATTCTAATAGATGTGAGGTGATATTGAGGTTTAATGTAGATTTCACTATTTATTAGCAATGTTCAGCATATTTTCATATACCTGTGGGCCACTTGTATGTCTTCTTTGGATAAATATCTATTCAAGTCCTTTATTCATTTTTAAATCAGTTTGGTTTTGTTGTTGTCATTGAATTGTCCCTGTAATTTCTTTTTTTTTTTTTGACTGCACCACACAGCATGTAGGCCCCTAGTTCCCTGACCAGGGATCAAACCTGCATCCCCTGCACTGGAAGAGTGGAGTCTTAACCAATGGACTGCCAGGGAAGTTCCCATCCATGTAATTCTTTATAGTAACTATAAAGTAGTACTTTCTAAGTAACTTTTGTCCATGTCCTCCACTTTCTTCTTTTTTTCAGCAAAGCATGTAGCTTCTTAGAACTCTGGTGTGTCATCTCAGTGTTCATTTAGGAATGAAAATGAACAACTGGGTGGGGGGGGAAGAATGAAAAAAAAAGCGAAAGAAACATAATAACTTCTGGAACCTGGTGAATTATACATTTCACAAGAAGTCTTGTGAAGAGGTAACATTTGACTCATGCAAGCTGAAATGTACAGAGGCAGAGCAGATCAGCTAGTTTAAATCTTAACATAGGGCTCAGTAAAGTCTCCTGGATCCACCTCACACTGCTGCTTCTGGGTATATTCCGTTCTGAGACAGCCTTTCCCAGCGTGGTTTTAAGGCGGCTGCCAACAGTAATTTTCTTCTTTTTCCTCCTCTGTTGCCATTTCCTCCTCCCTCTCCTGCACTAGCTCAAGTAAACTTTATTTTGACATAATTACAGATTTACAGAAGTTGCGAGAATAGCAAGACTGACTTCTGTGTCCGCTCTGTAAAGGAGAACTCACTTCGTTTGTGTGTCTTTCACTCCCCTACTCACGCACTCCACTTCACTTCTGACACCAAGTGTGTGATGGTTTTTTTCCCAGACATTAAGCAATTCTGCAACACAAGCTGGGTGTCCTACAATTTAACTCGATTCTGACACTAAATACTCGAAGATAGTGTCAGATCCAACTGAAGGGCTCAGTCCTATGAGATTGCATCTGCCTTTTCAGATGCCAACAGAAATTCCAGGTGCTTCTGACCAACTGGCTATGAACTGGAGATTCTCATAACCCCTTTTTCAAGTTCAGTTACCTTTCTAGAATGACTTGCAGAGCTCAGAAATATTTATTTCCAGATGAACAGCCAGATGAAGAGGTACATAGGGCAAGGTCTGGAAGGGTCCTGAGGAGAACAGTTTCTGTTCCCATGGAACTGGGGTGCATCACCTCCTCGTGTGTGGAAGCTTTCACCAACTAGGAAGCTGATCAAATCTTGTTGAGCTTTTGTAGAGCTTAATTGCCAGCCTCCTCACCTTCCCAGAGGTCGGTAAGTGTGGCTGAAATTTCCAGCCTTCTCATCCCTTTGCCTTTCTGGTGATCAGCTACATCCAGGGGTTATTTTGGGGCTTGACCTCAGTCAACTCATTAGAATGTACTCAGGTGTGCACAAGAGGGGCTCCTTATGAATGGCAAGACATTTCTATCACTCAGGAAATGCCAAGGGTTAAAAGTGGTGCAGTGGTGAAGGATCCACCTGACAGTGCAGGACATGCAAGAATCATGGGTTCCATCCTTGGGTCAGGAACCACTGGAGGAGGAAATGACAACCCATTCCAGTGTTCTTGCCTGGGAAATCCCATGGACAGAGGAGACTGGTGGGCTGCAGTCCATGGGGTTACAAGGAGTCGCACACAAGTGAACATGCACGCACACACACACACATATTACACCAAACCCTCCTAAAAGAGCTCAGAGTCAGAAACTATGACAAGGACTAAATATATTTCTTGCTGTACCACACCCCTTAATCAGGTTCCCCAGTTAACTGCTTATCCCATTTGCTTTTTCATTCTTTTCCTGTCCCCTACTTTATACATTTACCATCTGCATGTGTATAATGTCATTTTTTTTTCAACCACAGGCAATGAATCGTAGATGTAATAACTTTTGTCTTTAAACACATCAATGTGTATTATCTAAAAATAAGAATACCAACCACAATATAGTTATCAAAAAACAATGATTAAAAACAAGATATTAAACTTGATATAAAAACTCAAGTTTTCTTGATTTCACCATATATTTCACTAAAAAAGCTATAGATTTCACTAAAGGTCCCAATAACACCTTTTATAGGGGAAAAAATCACGAGTTATGAATCGCTTCTATTGTTAGTCTCTTTAGACATTGCTGAATTCTCTGTAAGGTTGTAACATTTTTCATTCTCTGCCAGGAATGTATTATAGCAGTAGCTCTATTCTTACTCATACCCAAAGAGAAAAAATAGGTCCGGGTAACCCACCAATAGGCTTAATTTCTTGGTATTGAATCTTTTATGCCCTGATTGGTCTCATTTGATTCATGTGTTCTTCTTTGAATAAATTACTGTTGTCAGGGGACATAGGTGTGCTGATCAACTTAGCGTGGGTCACATACTTCTTTCCAGGAGCCATGGTGGATTCAGGTTCACCTGAAGCATGTGGGCTCAAAGTGTGGGGAAGGGGCGGTTCCCCAAAGCAAAATTCAGGTTACCAACACCACAGAATAGAACTGTGTCAAAACAACAGCAACTACAACAAATATCCAATACATTCTCCCCTTAAAGAATGCCCAACATCTGTACCAAAACAACAAATGTTTACTGAACCTAGCAAAAGAAGAACAAATATATCAAAACTCGAGCGTAGGTAGTTGTTGTTTAGTCCCTAAGTCGTGTCTGGTTCTTTGCAACCCAATGGACTACAGCCCGCCAGGCTCCTCTGTCCATGGGATTTCCCAGCAAGAATACTAGAGTGGGTTGCCATTTCCTTCTCTAGGGGATCTTCCCGACCCAGGGATCGAACCCACATCTCCCGTGTCTCTGGCATTGGCAGGCAGATTCTTTACAGCTGAACTGCTAGGAAAGCCCAGAGCTAGGTAGACTCCAACCTAATTTTTCATTTTCACATATTAAAATTTTTATTTTATTTATTTATTTAGGCCACATCATGGAGCATACAGGATCTTAGATCTCCGACCAGGGATCCAACCCATGCCTTCTGCATTGGGAGTGCCGATTCCTAACTACTGGACCATCAGGGAAATCCCTCATGCAGTAAATATTTTCATCTCTCTTCTTTTATTCCTGTTGTTCAGTCACAAAGTTGTGTCCAACTCTTTGCGATTCATAGCACAGAGAGATTTTGACCTAGCTACTGCCTCTGTTTTGTTTTATTTTGTTTGTCAATTTAATTGATTCTCACAACAGCTCTGGGCAGCACCAGGAAAGGTACATGCCCTGCCTGACTGCTTGCTTCACATACACCATATTCACCTGACTAACCTTCCTATATACTTGCCCCAGGCTCTCGCTAGTAATTTTTCTTATCAAAGGGTTGGTGGTTTCCCAGATAACCAGTGAGCCCACGGACAGTCCCCTCTTCCCCCAGGAGCAAGGCCTGCTGCTGGGTCCTGTCCTCTGTTAGCTGCACATGGTGAAGACTCGCCACAGATCCAGGACCCTGCTTCAGATATGCAAGCTCTCTCATCCATTAAACCACTGACATCTTTGTCACTGAGTTGAGGCTTTTTCTCTCTCTTTAAAAACTATTTTGGCCATGCTGTGTGGCATGTGGGATCTTTAGTTCCCCGACCAGGAGTTGAACCTGAACCCCGTCACTGGAAGCTCAGGGTCCCAACCACTGGACCACCAGGCAATTTCCCTTTTCCTTCTGTCTTAAAACTGGGCAAGTGCAGTCCCTGCACCCCTGTCCACAGGGTGCAGCCCAACACATATTCTTTCTACTTTTGAAAAGTACGTTCTAAGAAAATAAACGTATGTGCTTGAAATCACTTTACTAAGTCTTATGCAAGTAAATAAACTTAAACCAGGTTTTTTTTTTCTTTGCTGTTGTTGCAAGCCACAGCTCTTCTAAGATTGTGACCTTTTTGAAATAACTTAGATGCTATTTTCATCCCTGTTTCTCACAAAAAGAAAATCTTAAGAATTTTCATCACTAGAATGTTTATTTTTTCTTCCTTTTCAAATGACAGAGAGTTTTCACCTTTCATAGAAACTGGAGGGCTCACTGTTTAGCATGGTGATTTGTTGCTGTTCCATACTTCTTCTCAAGCTCATTTTTCTTCTGATTGGAAAGCTTCTAAATGGTTGGTTGCTGTCATAACAGGTCTTCAGACAGTCTTGTCCTGATCTCAGCCCTGTCTCCTGGGCAGTTTCTTTAAGGTCAGAAACATTAACCCTCCCAGACATGTCACACAAGGACAAGATGAATTCTTGTTTTAGATCCAAAAAGTATTTGGCAAAGTGTTTTCGAACCTAAATGCTTAGGGTACTTTGAAGTACACACATCTTATTCTCCTAGTCACTAAACTTCAAAAAACATCCTACCATTCCTTGATATAGGAATGAACACCTTTTTATTTTCTATAATTAACTTCTAACTTTCTGCCTAACAGAGACCAGAAATACCTTTAAAAAAAAAAAAAGAGAGTCGCATTTAAATGCCTCTCTCCATTCTTAGCCAACAACTAGACTAATAATAACCAGAGGAAATTCAGTGGTGGCCAGCCTGCCTCTTCTTATATTTAAAGAGGGAAAATGCAGGGGTTCCCTGATAGTCCAGTGGTTAAGACTTTGAGCTTCCAATGCAAGGAGTGTGGGTTTGATCCCTTGTCAGGAAACTAAGATCCCACATAGTGCACAGTGCAGCATAAATAAATAATAACTAATTAGTTTATTTATTTTTTGTATGAATAAATGTGATCACCCTAAGGAGGCAAGGTGAACCCAACCATTGGGTATCAAGCTGGTGAGTACTACCTAGGGTCTCTCTTCTCTTGCTTTGGCTTGTTATCTGGTGAGTGAACTATTTGTGGGCATGACTGGCACTTGTTACAGGAGTAGAGAGAAAAGAACAGAGGAGAAAATCAGAGCTATCACATGATAGATGGAAACTATTGTGGAACTTTTGCTTCATTTTTACAAATGCATATGCCAGCGGCTCTATTGCCTGCTGGCGAGCAAGCGTTCTGAGCACCAGAGGCTGGCTCACCTGGGGGCTTCCTCGAGCTGCTTCTGTCTGCTGGGGCACTTACACCCTGGGCTGCACTGTCTGTGCCACCTTTGCTGAGTCCTTATCAACCTTTGTCGAAAGTTTTGATAATTGATGTTTAGGGCCTGGAGAATGGCTTTGAGATCCGCTTTGAGGTTAGCTGTGGGTCATATGTCTCATAGCTTTTGCTAGATGCTACCATGCTGGATGAGGTCACCCCTCTCCAGACCCCTGTGGCTACTTGGGATCCATACAGTGAATAGCAATGGAAGTTTGAATGGTTTACAGACAGCAATGCAATCAGTACACAAGATGGAGCTTGCTGGAGAGTTTCTGCTTTTTTTCCCATCACAGAGTCATCCCTAACTAAGGACAGACACAAGGATCAGCATAATTAGCTATAATTCAGGCAGTCATCTTAGCCCTGGCCCCAGCTGCACATGTTTACAAACACGTGAGTCATTCATTTCCAGTGGTCAGCCATCTGGTCCAGCCGATGGCAGCAACAATTCCTGATCCAAGGTTGCGTCCTTATAGGTAAAAACCCTAGGAATCTGTAGCCTCACTGACACCTAAATATATAAACCAAGGTCACACATACCTCTGCACCTACAAAAGCCACAGTGTGAGGGTTCACCAAGATACTTCTTACCTCCATGATTGTAGTTTGAAATATTATTGATAGAGACCAATGCACACATTTCATTTTGCAAAATACACAACACTGAACTCAAACTGGTATTCAACAGAACTTTCACCTCCTAAACCAGCCTCAGGATGCAGGCTTTGTAGAACACCATGATGAACTATTTGTTACAGGTTCAGTTCAGTTCAGTTCAGTTCAGGCTCCGACTCTTTGTGACCCCATTAACTACAGCTCCCTGTCCATCACCAATTCCCAGGGCTTGCTCAAGCTCATGTCCATCAAGTCGGTGATGCCATCCAACCATCTCATCCTCTGTCATCCCCTTCTCCTCCCGCCTTCAATCTTTCCTAGCATCAGGGTCTTTTCAAATGAGTCAGTTCTTCGCATCAGGTGGCCAAAGTATTGAAGTTTCAGTTTCAGCATCAGTCCTTCCAATGAATATTCAGGACTGATTTCCTTTAGGATTGACTGGTTTTATCTCCTTGCAGTCTAAGAGTCTCTCAAGAGTCTTCTCCAACATCACAGTTCTTTATTAGTCTGTTGCTATTTGTTGCTCTGGTTAAAACGTTTGAAGAAAATTCATCCTCACTGTTACGCAGTTTGAAAAGGGAATGATATTTTGTTTTTAGATGATTTTTATATAATTGTGGCTGTTGTTTCATACTACCCAGACACTAGACAAGTGGTAGTTTCCCAAGTTGTAATGTGTAATCCAAGACTGTATCAATGAACTTTTCATATGCTGCTACATTAAAACCCATTTTGTACTTCAAATAGATCTTTTTACCCATGTGTGGTTTCTTAACATCATGGATTGAAGATGTGGAAAATACTGATTTACTGAGTTCTTCAAATGTCACAAAAATTGACACATTTTGTTATGTAACATAAAAAAAATCACTTTTGTTAATATGGCTATAGATCTTATCAGAAAAGTCTTTATATATTGGGAAACTGTCAAGCGCATGGTGGTAGGCACAAGTTTCCCAGAATTCTGATTGTTATTTGAAGAATCAGATTTTATCACTGGCAACAAATGCTGTCAGTTGTCTTCATTTTATTCATTTTTGTGGAAATACCTGCTAAATACTCAAATGTGAATAACCCTAGTTTGGCAGGCGTTCTTTTCAAGTAAAAACAGTGTTCCATGGAAACACAACTCAGTTTGCAATTCAAACAGTAGCTCAACTGCTTTTTGTGGACAATCACTATACTTCACTATGTCACAAAAGTGCTTTATACGTGTTTATTTCATACACAGGATATTAAGAAGATGTGTAGGCAAGGATCAAGACTTGATAACATTAATGACTTTATGCTGCTTTATTAAGAACTCTTAAGTGATAGTGGCTTTTTAAAAAAGTGTATAGAATACTTCCTGGCTGTCCATCTGTAACCTATGCACATAGCCTTGTTTGGAAATAGGGACTTCGCAAATGTAATCAAGTTAAGATGAGGTCCTGCCAGATTGGGGTAGGGCTTCTGATAAGGAGAGGGACATTTGGAGACAGAGACACAGATACAGAGAGAGAAAGGTTATGAGGCTGTGGGGGCAGAGATTGGGGTCATGAAGCTTCAAGCTGAGGTATCTGAAGGATAGCCAGCAGCCCGGAAGCTAGAAGAAGCGAGGAGAGGTTCTCCCCTACAGGTTTCAGAGGAAGCATGGCCCTACGAACCCCTTGATTTCAGACTTCTGGGCTCCAGAACTGGGAGGGAATGGTTATTCTAAGCCACCTCACTTATGGTTACAGCAGCACTAGGAAATTAACACAGCATCTTAGAAAGCATCCTTTTGAGAAGAGTGAGGGTCACTAATTCTGAACAGTTCTTAGACACCTCTAGGTCTAAAATTTAGGTGGAAACATGGCCTTGTGCATGTGACCTTTACAGATATGATTTTTTTTTTCTTTTATTGGCTGCACAATGCAGCATGTGGGATCATAGTTCTCCAAACAGGGATCAAACCCACACCCCCAACAGTGAAAGCGTGGACTCAACCACTGAGCCACCAGGGAAGGCCTAAGATACGAGATTTTAAAGATAGCATTGAAAACTCATTGAATTGCCATGTTGTTAAAGTCAAGAGGCCTTATAGATATAACCTGTGTTTTTCTGACCCTGGACACTGGCTCCAACTCCCTGGACAGACCCATTTCCCTCCACACATTTTTAGGAGTCTCTAGCGCAGGGCCTGAGCTTCCCTGGTGGCTCAGATGGTGAAGAATCTGCCTGCAATGCAGGAGACCTGGGTTTGATCCCTGGGTTGGGAAGCTCCCCTGGAGGAGGGTATGGCAACTGACTCCAGTATTCTTGCCTGGAGGATCCCCATGGATAAAGGAGCCTGGCAGGCTACAGTCCGTGGGGTTGCAAAGAGTCGGACATGACAGAGCGTCTAAGCACACAGCACAGTGCAGGGCCTGGACTGGGGTGAGAGGAGGGGGACAGGGCAAGTGCTCCCCTAAGTGCTATGCCCCAGGGCTTGGCTCTTACTCTACTTCCAGCCCTGCCCCAGGGTGCTCACAAGTGTGTATGAACAAAAAGACATACGTCCAAGGGTATCCAAAGACACCCTGGACGAGACTTTCTGGGTGAGCAGTTAGAATCTGCATTTTCTTGACACTTTCTGAGTAACTCTGAGGCTGATTCAGGTTGGGGGGTGAGTCATAGCCCGGCCCAGAAATATGATTTGAAATGTTTCTTTTTGCTTTAAGCTTCCACATTCATATGGGTTTATAGCATAAATTTTCTAAGGAAAGATAACAGTGTCATGTTTGTAGCAAGGAAGCCTGGGGGACCTAGGGAAGAGGAGAGGCTGGAAATGAAGAACAAATGAAATCAAGACTGAATAATAAGGAAAGTACAAAGAATTAATGAGATTCCATTTGTATGAAATAGCCAGAATAGGCAAATCCATAGAGACAAAAAGTAGATGAGCAGTTGCCACGGGCTGGAGAGACCAGGACTTGGGGAGTAAGTGTTTAATGAGTACAAAATTTCCTTTTGGGGAGATGAAAAAGTTCTGGTGAATGGATAAATAGACTATGGTACACCAGACAATGAAATATAATTCAGCACTGCTAAGCAATGATCTATGAAGCTGTGCAAAGAAATGGAGGAAACTTAAATGCATATTACTAAGTGAAAGAAACCAACCTGATAAGTCTACATACTGTATGATTCCAGGTACAGGACATTCTTATGGAGATGGTAAAAGATCAGTGGTTGCCAGGGCTTAGTGAGCAGGGAGAGATGACTATGTGGAGCACAGAGGGTTTGGAGGCCAGTGAAAACACTCCAGATGATACTATAATGATGGACATGTGTTATTACACACGTGTCCAAACCCATAGAATGTACAGCAGTGAGAGTGGAGCCTAAGGAAAGCTGTGGACTGAGGCGTCACTAATGCCGTGATAGCCTGTGTAAACGAACTGAACCCTAGGCCAGAGTTAATGCACTCAATTCCCAGAAAACAAAATCTAAGGACAAACAGCCAAGTAGATCTCCCCTCAAAAGGCAACTGCTCAGGCTACAGCCAATGAAATCATTGCTTTATTTCTGCATCCTCCTATAAAAGCCTTTCCCCTGTTCCTGGTGGTTGTGGCTCCTAACTGCTTTGGGTTTTGTTGTTGTTGTTTAGTCCTTCAGTTGTGTCCAACTCTTTGCGACCCCATGGACTGTAGCCCACCAGTCCATGGGATTTCCCAGGCAAGAATACTGGGGTGGGTTGCCACTTCTTTTTCCTGACATAGGGCTCAAACCGGAATCTATTGCATCTTCTCCACTGTCAGGCAGATTCTTTATCACTGTGCCACCTGGGAAGCCTGCTTTTGGTTTGGTACTGCCCAATTCAAACTGATGTTTGCAGAAATAAACTTTTCAAAGGTGTCATGTGCATTAGATTATCTTTTAACAATCTTGGTGTGTTCACTGTGCACACAGATGGGAAGAAATCACTAGGACACCCTCCAGCTCTAGGATGCTGTGATAAAAGTGATCAGACAATCAACAAGACTCAGAGGAAATCTCAAGTTGTTAATTAGGTTTTCTGAATCCATAGACACTTTCTCCACTAGCTTACTGAGATGCAGCACTTTTTTTTTTTGCACCTTGGTTGTTTCACTCTACAATTTATTTCAAAGGTATTTTCACATCAGCACATTCTTAATTATGCATTGCAGTCAGATCTGCTGTAAGAGGCACGAATTTGTGCAGCACAGTTGATATATTAGGGAACAATCTGAGCATAATGGGAATTTCGCATTTGCTTATGTGTGATTTCTTCTGTAGGAAATGCTAAATGCACACAGAAAACCGCACACTGCTGACCTGAAGCCATGGAAGGAAACTGCGAACGGGTACCCACCACAAACATCTTTCAGGACTGCAGTTTTCTGCTGCGCTTTGCCTGGCAGATGCAATGCTTCTAAAGAAAGGACTCCACACAAGAAAGAAGAGATCCACACAACCTGCATTTCACTTTTACCAAAGAAATGCCTGAACCTATTTTACTGGAGAGTTCATTCCAAAACACTGGAAAGGCAAAAAGCACAAGTAGCTGAGACATTTAAAAAGACACTCAAACTTCTTAAATGCAAGAGAATCTCATTTCCTTCTGACAGTAAAGATACTGAACACAGATGTGGGAGGATTAGATTAACACCTCTGGAGGAAAAAAAGTGACAAAACTATGTGGCCAGGAGGTGGCGCCTGGCGTGCATGTGGCTAGGAGTCTGGCAACCCAGAAGCTGCCTTCTGAAAAAGTGAGGCTGGTAAGTCACGACCTTCAGAGAACTGAGGTACCTCGAGCACTGCTGGCAGTAAGAAGACTGAATCGAGAGCTTAGCGGTCCAACAGCAAACCAGAACAATGAAGAATGACTTTTTTTTTTCTTTCCATCTTCCACTCACTCCTCAGCATAAGTTGGTGGTTCTCAAACTCTTTGGGGTACCCAAGAATCACCCAAGATGTATTAAAAGGTATAAAAATGATGTATTAAAGACACTAATGCTGGGAAAGATTGAGGGCAAGGAGGAGAAGAGAGTGACAGAGGATGAGATGCTTGGATGGCATCATTGACTCAATGGACATGAGTTTGGGTAAACTCTGGAAGTTGCTGATGGACAGGGAGGTCTGGCATGCTGCAGTCCATGGGGTCACAAAGAGTCGGACACAGCTGAACGACTGAATTGAACTGAACTAAACTGATGGTTCATTGGTTAAGACTTTTGGTTTCCACTGCAGGGGGCACAGGTTCCATCCCACACATCACATGTGCTGGGCTCAGTCGTGTCCGACTCTTTGAGCCGCATTGTGAGAGTAAAAAAATATTGTGAACCACTATATTGTACACCTGAAATTTTTGTAATATTGTGCAGCTAGACCTCATTTAAAAACAAACCAAAAAAAAAAACAAAAACAAAAACCCGACCCTGAGAACTGGATCACCTGGAAACTTGTATACAGTAGAGTTTTGGGGTCTCTAGCCCAGACCCATAGACCCTGGAGGGGAGCCTCAGAAATCTATGGTTTAACAGAGCTCCTCAGGTGATGCTGAGGCTTGAGAGCCCCACTTGGTTACCTCACCCAGACCCTAAAACTTACCAGCACTCTCAGTGTGCAGATCCCACCCCTCTGCTGAGCACAACCAGTGGTGGGAGACATTGCAGGGGGTGGAGGGGGTGCGAAGGGTGGGCTGGGGCCAGCCCGCTCGTTGCTTGGCCTTGCTCCCTAGTCAACCGTGAACCAGTGCCTTGGAGCCTGCCTATCTTTTCTGCTTCTTGGAAAGGCCACACTCCAGTCCATATTTTCCACCCTTCTCCCCAGGAAGTGTATCTGATAGCAGATCAATTTTTACAGAGCCTGCCTAATTTGCAGCCCCACCCTTCTCTCCCTCAGGCCATGTGGATGCCCAGACCTTCAGACCTAGCCCCAGCTTGGGGCCTAGTACAAGCTGTCCCTAAGAAGAAGGTCTGGAAGAAGGCCCAGGCCCACCCGCCACGGGCTACAACATCTGTGTCCTCATCTGCCTACCTGGGTCCTACTGCTCACGCAGACCTTTTTTTTATATTGGAGTATAGTTTCTTTACAATGTTGCATTGGTTTCTGCTGAACAGAAAAGTGAATCGTCTATAGGTATATATTATTGTTATTCAGTGGCTTAGTCGTGTCCGACTCTTTGTGACCCCATGGAATGCAGCACGCCAGGCTTCCCTGTCCTTCACCACCTCCCAGAGCTTGCTCAAACTCACGTCCACTGGGTCGGTGATGCCATCCAACCATCTTATCCTCTGTCGTCCTCTTCTCCTCCTGCCTTCAATCTTTCCCAGCATCAGGGTCTTTTCCCATGAGCCAGTTCTTCACATCAGGTGACCAAAGTATTGGAGTTTCAGATTTAGCATCAGTCCTTCCAATGAATATTGAGGACTGATTTCCTTTAGGATCAACTGGTTTGATCTCCTTGCAGTCTAAGGGGCTCTGAAGAGTCTTCTTCAGCACCACAGTTCAAAAGCATCAATTATTATGGGCTCAGCCTTCTTTATGTATACATATACCTATACATATTCCCTCTTTTTTATATTTCCTTCCCATATAGGTCACCCCAGAGTATGGAGCAGAGTTACCTGTGCTATACAGTTGAGTTCACTTCAGTTCAGTTGCTCAGTCGTGTCCGACTCTTCGAGACCCCATGAACCACAGCATGCCAGGCCTCCCTGTCCATCACCAACTCCTGGGGTCCACCCAAACCCATGTCCATCGAGTCAGTGATGCCATCCAACCATCTCATCCTCTGTCGTCCCCTTCTCCTCCTGCCCTCAATCTTTCCCAGCATCAGGGTCTTTTCAAATGAGTCAGCTCTTCGCATCAGTGGCCAAGTATTGGAGTTTCAGCTTCAACATCAGTCCTTCCAATGAACACCCAGGACTGATCTCCTTTAGGATGGACTGGTTGGATCTCCTTGCACTCCAAGGGACTCTCAAGAGTCTTCTCCAACACCACAGTTCAAAAGCATCAATTCTTTGGCACTCAGCTTTCTTTATAGTCCAACTCTCACATCCATACATGACCACTGGAAAAACCATAGCCTTCACTAGACAGACCTTTTTTGGCAAAGTAATTAATGTCTCTGCTTTTTAATATGCTGTCTAGGTTGGTCATAATTTTCCTTCCAAGGAGTAAGCGTCTTTTAATTTCATGGCTGCAAACACCAGCTGCAGTGATTTTGGAGCCCCCAAAAATAAAGTCAGCCACTGTTTCCACTGTTTCCCCATCTAGTTGCCATGAAGTGATGGGACTGGATGCCATGATCTTAGTTTTCTGAATGTTGAGCTTTAAGCCAACTTTTTCACTCTCCTCTTTCACTTTCATCAAGAGGCTCTTTAGTTCTTCTTCGATTTCTGCCGTAAGGGTAGTGTCATCTGCATATCTGAGGTTATTGACATTTCTCCTGGTAATCTTGACTCCAGCTTGTGTTTCCTCCAGCCCAGTGTTTCTCATGATGTACTGTGCATATAAGTTAAATAAGCAGGGTGACAATTTTCAGCCTTGACGTACTCCTTTTCCTATTTGGAACCAGTCTGTTGTTCCATGTCCAGTTCTAACTGTTGCTTTCTGACCTGCATATAGGTTTCTCAAGAGGCATGTCAGATGATGTGGTGTTCCCATCTCTTTCAGAATTTTCCACAGTTTATTGTGATCCACACAGTCAAAGGCTTTGGCATAGTCAATAAAGCAGAAATAGATGTTCCTTAGATGAGATTAATGTCTGATTTCGTTAGATTGGTATACTGTGCTTTATGTATCTAGAGTGCTAGTATTCAGGGTAACAGAGCTGGTATTCAAACAAGGATGCCCTGGGCAGGGAGGTGAGCCAGAGCGTTATCATTCCTTCCGCATCCATCTTATGTTAGGCCAAACAGTTTAGACCCTCCCCTGCTCTCCATTCTTTTTACTATTTGGGAACCAGTCCAATATCCCTGGATCCCTGCTCTCCAGACCTCAGGCTTCCAAGTCTTGCTAACCATTGAGGTAACAGGCCCCTAGTTGGGTTTATCAACTCAAAAATATTTTCACAACCTAAAAGTTGAGAGTCCTGCTTCATTCAGCAGGAATTTTTAGGACTTCAAACCTAGAAGGCAGCATCTCAAGTAACCCCGAGAGAACTGCTCCAAGGAGGTGAGCGGGGAGCTAGGATGTATAGCAGTTTTGCAACAAAGGACAGGTAGTCTGAACATCAAAAGATGATTATAAATTAAAGAAAACCAGATATGCCAAATTAAGGAATTTCACACTTTTCTATGTATGGGAAGATGCAAGAGTCTGGACTCACTGACATTATTCCTTTGATATGAAAGTGAACGTGTTAGTTGCTAAGTTGTGTCCCAGTCTTTGCAATCCCTTGGACTGCAGCACACCAGTCTTCCCTGTCCTTCACTATCTCCTGGAGTTTGCTCAAATTATGTCTAATACATTTCCATTACTGGAAACTATATCATAGTTTTCTTTTTTCAACGTATTTTTAAACACAATTTTTATTACAGTATAGTTGCTATACCACATCATATTAGTTTCTGCTGTAGTACAAAATTTTGACTGTGGACAGACCAGCTTAGGGAAAAAAAAAATTAAGTTTTATGGGTCTTCTTTGACTTCCAGCTGCCTCAGTCATCTCAGTTTTGACATTTCCTCCGCTTTCTTGGTGGGTTACCTGTTTCCCCAGATACTCAGGGACCCCAGGAAGACCCTCAACCTGATTATAACCCCCAGCCTGTCTGGCTCTGCAGTTAGAAAGCACTTTCCCATGCTTTGTCACTTTGGCATCACACAATAACTTTCTGGGAGGGGAGTGCTTGGAGTGCCTGGGTGTCTGTCACAGAAACACAGGACACCACAGAGTGTGAGTCAGAGGAATTCTATGTGTACAAAAATACCCTCTCCCTCACTGGGCTGCCTCCTCCAAGACAGAGCCGTTTACTTGCCGACTGAAACTGTGCAGCTCAGACTGGGACTTGAACCCACAGTCTTTTAACTGAGATCACACACCTGGTCTCAAGACTTCATGAAGCTCAGGTTCTTGATGTCTCATGGCAGAAAGAATTCAGTGAGAGACAGGTGATAGGTAAGAAGTGGATTTATTTAGAGAGAAACGTATTCCACAGACAGTGTGGTCATCTCAGGTGGGAGTGGCTCCAGGGTACGGGGTTGTCAGTCTTTACAGGGGTGGGTAATGTTGTAGGCTAATGAAGGGGAGTACTCCAGCTCTTTTAAGGAAGGAGTGGGAATTTCCAGGGACTGGACCATTGCCCACCTTTTGACCATTTATGACCCTTTCAGACCTGTCATGACATTGGGGGGTGCATCATTTAGTGTGTTGCTCTGTTACAATAACTTTATACTGAGGCTCAAGGTCTAGTGGAAGTCAACTCGCCCACCGTCTTGGCCCTATTTGGTTCTAATCAGTTTAAGTTGTGTCCTCTGGCTATGTCATTCTTTCAAAGGTTGTGCTCCACATCCCTCCCTCCTGTTTCATTGAAAAAAAGTGAAAGTCAAAGTCTCTTAGTCATGTCCGACTCTTTGTGAACCCATGGGCTATATAATCCTTGGAATTCTCCAGGCCAGAATACTGGAGTGGGTAGCCTTTCCCTTCTCCAGGGGATCTTCCCAACCCAGGGATCAACTCAGGT